CCTGGGTCACTCTCCCCATCCCCTGGTCAGTCCCATCCACTGGATCTGCAGTGCTTGGTGCCCATCTGGGCTCCTGGAACTGCTCCTGCCTGCAGAGGAGCCACCCCAGCCTGGCCATGCTGGATCTGCACTGCCTGGGGCTGCTGCTGCTGCTCTGCCAGCAAAAATCCCTGGTTCTGGGCTTCATGATTCCACTCCACGGCCAAGCAGCTCAGGAAAAGCATTGCTTCCTTCATTGCTCCCTTCATTGCTTCCCTGGTTCAGGCTGCTTCCCAGCTAGAGGTGCTGTGCCATGAGGGCCAGTCCCACAACGTGCTCCCAGTGCCCCCATTCCTGCTCTGCCCATGTCCCTGCAGGTCCCCCTGGCTTGCCCAGACCCTCACAGCCCTCACAGTGTTCCAGCATGGAGCCTGTGACCTACTTTGGCTGCACCCAGCCCTGTTTTCCAGGGGCAGTTTATTGTCTTTGCTAATGAGGCACCAACGCTTGGACTCGCCCTTTGCTTTCCCACGTACCAGCCCCGTTCCCAGGGCCACAGGGGGAGGGATGGGCTAGGATGCTTCCCCCTGCTGAGCCCAGGAATCCTCAGCTGGCCCCCAGGAATGCTGTGCAAATTAATCTGTCCCGCTTAGGGGTACAGTGTCTGATTCAGACTGGGGTTCCACTCCATAAATTGCCAAAATGGGGTTGTTTTGGGGGGACAATGCAGCATTGTCCCTACTGGGAGGACATCAGTGTTCAGGGGAATTATTTTTGGGGCCATTTTTATCAGTTTGGTGCAGACACGAATCCATCAGAGTCATGCTTCATTATCCAGTGCTCACTGAGAGAGAGGAGCTGGGGACATGAACCATGTGTTGGACACCCTTAGGATACACTGGGTGATGTGTCCTCCCCACCAAAAAACCTCTTTATTTCATTTTTACAGCAACAATTCATTGTAGGTTTCTGGAGTCATAAATTCTGCCTGAAAGCTGCTTTTAGGAGTGACTTGATGCATTTAATCAGAGCAGGGTCCTTATCTCTCCAAGCAAGCAATGTGCTGATGTCTTGGAGAGTGATACCTTGGCCTCAATATCTTGGTGTCAGAGGAGGCTGGGGAGAGGAGGCAAAGGACTCTGTGCTACATCCCAGTGCTAAAAACTCTCTGTGCTACACCCCAGTGCCAAAAACCTCTCTGAGGTGCTGTACTTCAGTCCCAACATTTCCTCTGTGCTACAGCCCACTCCCAAAACC